ACAATTCACAAAAGAAGAAATGTGAGTGGCCAAACTAATCTATAGTGACAAAAAGCAGTAGTGGCCTGGGGCTAGGGGTGGGAGCATCGAGCACAAATGGCATGAAAGCATTCTGGGCAGTGATAAAAATGTTCTATATCTTGACTGTGGTGATGGTTACATGGGAATACATATTTGCCAAAACATCAAACTATTCACTTAAAATGTGGGCATTTCCTTGTAGATTAATTAAATCCCAATAAAGCTGGTTCAAAAATAAATAAATAAAAATGAAGAGTCAGCTGCAAGGGTAACAGTACTTTTTCCCCTTCAAATTAATTCCCATTTCTCATGTGCCATTGGTCTTCCCAAAGACAACGTGCAGCACACGTTGGTAAGCCCATGTTCTGAGCTGTTAATGACATCTAACTGTCACAGCAATGCCTGAGAGATATCCTTAAGAGTTCCTTAAATGGGTCTTAGATCCTTATAGCTATGAAAGTTGGGAGGATGGCAGCTCCCACCTTCTGGTGCCAGGAGATGGAAGATGACATTCTGACATAAGGACCAAGTAATGTCCTTATCAGCATAACCAATATGTTCTCCTGATGACTGCAGCCACGGGAGACCTGCTCTTTGGCCCCCAGCAGTAAGCAGATCTTCCCTGAGCTTCTTAGGGCTGTACGGGAAAAGCTGGCAAATTAGGCACAGGGGCACCAGAGGCCTTATATATTATTGTTGCTCCATCATTCCAGCACTTGCCAGCATCTAGTAATCCCCTATAACACAGGCATGCTTCTAAAATGGCAAACAGTGGTTTACAGAGCCAACAGAGGTCTAGCAACCATAAAGCTAATTACTAAGATGGGAAAAAGGAAAACGAGAAGAAAGGAACCATGAATCACTAGTATCCCTGCAGTTTTTTCACCAACTTGTTGCCAAGAAGCAAGTAGCTTAGCTGACCTCCACTGAGAGGGTGCGGCATGCTTTTAGAGAAGAGACCTATCTGGAAAGGAATTTTTTCCTTAATATTTTCCACCTAAACTTATCAGAGATGTTAAGAAACAGGGTGGTTGAAAAGAAAGAAATTAGACAACAAAGGATAAGTTCCTTTATTCAAAGGTTTACCAAAGAATTCCAAAGAAGTTTGCTGTGTTACCCCTACGTTTCTCATCAAGACTGACATTCAGATCAAAGTGTTGTGGAATAGGGAAAGGGGATGTGGGTTTGTTTGGGAAGAAATGAGAGGTGCCATCATCTCCAACTTTATTTAGAAGTCGTCATATCTGGGAGCTAGAAGGGACCCTAGGGTCACGCAGCTCTGAGGTTCCCAGTGCTCAAAGAACAAAGGGGTAATGGCAAACATGGCTCCATTTCCAGGACCAAGGAAGATTTCCTACATACACATTATATATTAAAACAAACACACAGATACACTAAGTCAAACAAGAATTTGCCTGAACTTTTTTAAGTGGCCTTGTCCAGAGGATTTATCAATTGCATTAACTTTGCCAGCTGTGCTCTAAACTCACAGGCCTTCTCTCTCCTCTGCCACTGGGTGTACCCCGGTGTGATATCAGAGAGGTGCAGTGATGATGAAATTCTGTGATGATGAAAAGGGGACCCAGGAAACGAAATGGACTTGGCCGGCCATCCTGGGTCTGCAGATAGAACCAAAGCTGGGTTCTCCTTCCTCCTGCTCCAGGACCCGTCCTCTGACCCGGGGACATGGCAGAAACTGGAGAAAAGAACCTGTGCAACACCATTTACTCCAGCCTGGCCTTTGGGGTAAAAACAGACCCCCTGGCTGCTCTTCCTCAGGAGACATCAGCCCTTGGGTCCATGGTGCCTGGTCCTTCTCTGTGAACCACATCCCTCCCCACCCCACCCTTGTCTCCACCTTCTTGCAACACTCTGCCCCTGAGCACCCTGCTCTGTTCATGCGTGGTGGTAAAAAGAGCTTATTCACTCATTCCCTCTTTCATCCTTTCATGTTTATTCTGTGCATGTTGATGTAAATACAAAGCTAAGTAAGTCGGCCATTGCCTCACCCTCCAGGGGGCTTTACAGTCTGGCCCAGCAGGAAGGTAGCAAGAACTGGTGAGCATTTGCTTGACACAAGGTGCATGCTTCTTCCTGGTCCTCACTCAGTAGGAGTTTCAATGACAAAAAAAACGATCCATTCTGCCCACACCCAGCACTGAGGTTGCTCTGCGCCATCTCCCTGGTGAGAGAAAGTACCCGTCCCTTTCTTGTCCTGACGCCACTCCCATAGAATACATCCACAGCAAACAATGACCTGAAGCTCTAAAAATGAATTACCGTGGTAAATAAATACCTGCTGATGATGAAGCCTCCAGCAAACTTTGGAAGAGCAAATTTGGTGCTAAGACCAAGGCTCAGATGTCTTTGTGTGTCCCGAGGACCTTTTCCCCTTGTCTTTTAGTGGCATATCCTCCCCTCTGCCTCCCACCTGTGTCCGTGTGAGGAAAGGATGGAGATTAAGCCCAGCCAACCTGACCAGCAGTAACAGGCAGTGGCTCGGGGGTGGCCCAGTCAAGCGGCTTCCTCTCTCTGGCTCCTTCCAAGAGCCAAACCCCTTCTCTGAAGACCAGACTTGTATTCCCAAATACTGGGACAGTGAGACAACAGCTGGGTTTATGAGCAGCTGTGGGGTTTCTCACACAGATTCCTCTTGTCTATTAGGGAGATTACAAAAACGTTTGATTTGTGGATAGTTTGTTACCAGGTAATTGAATACATACAACTCTATTTGATCTTTGCCACAACTCAATGAGACTCTTTTGTATTAGGAAGAAACTTACTCAACCAGTATTTACTAAATGTCCTCCAAGTGCCATCACTATGGGATGGATATAAAGTTGAGCCAGACACACTTCCTATTGTTTGCAAAGTCAGAGTGTGATAGGCAGGCAGAAAGCAGACAAATAATTCTAACACTCTGTGAAACATGAGCCCCACTATGACCACACTATCTCCTATGCATAGTATTACTAAAGACTGAGGACTAAGTTGTCCTCAGTCATCTGCTCTACCTGGAAAGACCAGGGTAAGGTCTAATGAAGTGGCACTTTACCAGAAACTTGAAGAAAGACGATTTATCAAGTGGATGGACCTTTGAGGAAAAGAGAAGAGGACATTCTTCTGTTCACAGAGGGCACAGCATGTGAAAGACCTGGCAGCATTAATCTACAGTACAGAGTGTGTTTACAGAGCTTCATGGTGTGGGCAGGGGTGAAGTGACTTATCCAAGGTCCTTTAGCTGGACATGGCCTACATCCCAAGAGTTTAACAGCAAGGGTTGGGGTCAAGGTCAGCTCTCTGCCCACAGCATTTTTCTACTCAGTTGCAAGGCCAGGCCCTCCGTAACACACTGGGTTTCCTGAGTAAAGGCTGCCTGACCAATGGCACTCCAAATGGGTGCTCACCGCAAATCATCTCTGGTATTCTTGATTTCAAGCTGCATCTCTTTGGACAAGGCATCTCTATACACTGGAAAATTGCAATAGTTATGATCATAGTAATAACATCACAAGAATAATCAAATGCTATTGATACAAAAATGTACTAAATTAGGCTAGGCTTCAGCTACTGTATTGTGCATTTAAGTTTATGCACATTTGTGATTTATGATAAAGATGATGCCCTTTACAATTCCCTGGAAGCTGTGATAGACTGCCCCTCTGCAATCTGGCTTCATTTGGCAATTTCTCTCTCCTTCCCCCCAGGCCTCAATTTTGAAAGGGAGAATAACCAATCTGGTTGCTACAGTCTGGGCCTATGCATCCTAGGGCAAGGCGGAACTACTTGGGCATGATGAACTACTGATTGATAAATCCCTTCAATCCACTTGTCACTGGCAAGACCAGATTGGGTTTGCATAAATAACCTTCATGCAGCCATCAGGTCAGCAACCTGGCCCCTTTATCACTCTCCTGAGGCTAGCCACATACACATCCCCTGCCCATGTCCGCTGGTCTCATTCTGGCTGCTCCCGTAATTTTCACTCTTGAAAACACACAGTGCCACTGATTTTCTCTACAGAAAGAAGTGGGGGCCAGAAGACTTCTTTTGAAGCTATCAAATTTGCATATCAGGACATTGGGTTTCCTTCCATTGCACGTTTACTTGAGCTGGCTTGGTGAGAGCTGCGGCAAGGGGTACCTGGCACTGCGTCACTGCTCATCCCTTGCTACCAGGAAGCAGGGCCCACATGTTGGGAAGATTGCTTTGCTTTTCCATACCCATTTTAAATTCCACATTCTCTAGGTGGAATTTCTCTCTCCATCTCCATCCTTGGCACTTTTCACATTTCTGAGAACTTATTACAGTCTGCCAGATACTGGGATTACATAGGTTTTCTCTACTCCATACCGATCTCCTAGGGGAGAGTTCCATAGTCATCTCTGCCTTCCACAGTATATCAGAGGTTCAATTAAACCTGGGCAGCTTGTCAAGGGCAAAAACCAGTTGATTCTATCTCAGTAAAGCTGGGGCCAGTGGGGAGGGGAGGCAATAACCACATGAGTAAGAAGATGGGTTATACGCAGGCTATTGTAATAAAAAGAGCACCCAGACCCAAAACCTCTCCAAGGGGTGGTTTTGCTTTAATTTTTACAGGAAAGGAAGGAGAGTAAATAAGTGGCAAAGGAGATGATTAACAGTGGGATTGTTTGAAAGCAGGACAAATCTTGGTCAATTTTCTTGAAAAACACCAGAAAATGTTTTTCTCTGTAATTAGCTTGTTTCAGGGAGACAAACAGTTCTAATCTCAGCTCATCAATTATGAGACAAAGAACAGGAAGTTGGAGAGGCTCCATCTAGCCTCCTCTGCTGATTCAAACAAAGGGGGAAAGGTCTGTGTTTGACCTTGTCCCTGGTCAGGGGAGACACTGTCCTGTTCATGAGAAAGAACGCCTCCAGGCCTTAATCTAAGTTACATGGGGAAGGGCGGTTCTTTGAGGTAAACTGTTTATTGCAACACAGAAGGTTGGGAAATTTCTTAACTGTCGCTGTTTTCCAGAAGCACAAGGCTCAGGTGAAGTTCAGTATTTTCAAACTGAATGAAAGCAAATGTGCTGCAGTCTCTCAAGTGTGAGTACCCTGCTCTGCCTCTGCCTCTCCTGGAGCCTTACAGTGTCTCCCCCCTCTCATTATATGTATGTGTGTGTGTGTGTGTGTATATATGCGTGTATGTACGCTTACTTACATGTGTGTGAGTGTACCTTCAATATATCAACTATATCAGCCAATGTTCTCTTCAAAGAAAGACTGTTCCCGCTTTCTCTCCCTGCCTCTGCTCTTTATTTGTGACCTGCTTGAAGAACTAAAGAGAGAAGACAGAAATTGCCACAGGGGAGAATTGCCTTTAAGGTGACTGGACTTTAAAACTTGCAGCATAAATACTACGCTGCAGCCTTCCCAGCAGAACTGCAAATGTGAGAAGGAGTGAAAACAAAGAAGCTTCTGTGCACTGGGGTGAGGACGGTGGGCGACAGGGCCAAGAGCGGGAGTGCCCAGGGGGAGTGCCGAAGATCTGCTTTGCTCCTTGGTAACAGCAGTGGCCCATCACTCACCAGCCCCCAAGATTGGTGGAGATGAAACCCTGTATCTGGGTTGTTTTTCCAACCACATTCCTACAGCTGAGGCTCCCTGTGTCAGGGCCCCTTGAGCAAAGAATGAGGCCTGCTCAGGAACTGAGGAGCGAAAACTCTGAGGGGAGCTAGGAGGCTTAGACCACAAGGAGAAGAGTTACAAGGAGAAGAGATCCTTGAAAAACAAACTCTGAAGCTTCTTCTCTTTTATTTTTAATCAATTTGCTTATCCCTACAAACAGGAGATGAGCAGTTCTGGGAATAATTATTAAAAAATAAAAAAAGATAAAAGATTAAAAAATTATAAGATTTTTAAAAGATTCTGTATATACAGAAATCCTGTGTGTTATATTTGAAGGGGTACCTGTTTTATTTAATCCTAATACACTGTTACTTGTTATAGTCTTTGGCATGTAATAGGTGCTCAGTAAATGGCTATCAGTTGACTAAATTGCAGTTTAATCAGGTTTATTGTTTCCTTCTCATTAGAGGACATAGCTGTACCTCCCAACACTTTTCTGTGGCTTGTCAAACCATGAGAGTTTCGAATCAGCTGTCCTGCTGTATCTGTTTCCAGTATTTTTAAGAAGTTGTCCTTGTCACTAGCACAGCAAGTAAAAGACTTTACCTGCAGAAAGAGGATGCAGGCCAAACTTGCTTAAAGACAGCCTGGGTGGATGCCCAGACAGTGCTCATTCCTGCTCAAAACAAAGTTCCCTTCTTGCTTGCCTGATGAAGCTTGATATTTCGTTCACAGAGAATGAAGCTTTTCACTCTACAATGCGCCCTGGCCTTGACGGTCAGAGGCCTCCTCTCTTCTCAGCCCGTGTCACAGTTCACCGGAGCTGAACAAAGCTGAGGCATAAGATGCACTTGCAATCAGGGCATGTGAAGTAAACTTGGGAAGGGAATGGCTGTAATGTACCCAGGCTTGTACCAGGAGCCCTGAGGTATATGAAGTTAAAAAAGTCTCTAACTCTGAGTTTAAATGCAAGCTCCACTGGAGATACAACTGACATTATCAGAGCCTTTCTCCAGAGTCAACTGTGGGGTATGGACAAGGCCTGGAGCACTGTTTTCCTGTGATAGGGAAGGGAGAGTGTATATCCCCCATGTGATTTTAATATGCAGCCAAGTTTGAAACCCAATGAACTAGATGATTTTTAAGAACTCTCCCAGGTTTATGATCCAAAGAACCAGATATTTGATATAACAAGATGAAGAAAAAGCAAGGGTCCCATCTGAATTGAAGGAGGTCAGTGACTACAGCATGGCACGAATAAAAGCTATGCCTGCCTCATGATTTGCAGCAACTATTCGAAAGGCTGAGCCCATTGTGGTGAAAAGATGCATGAGTCTAGACAAAGATGATGGAATTGGTAATAAACTTAGAGGTCAGCATCCTGGGATACTTAAGGAACTTATTAATGAATATTTATTGAGTACTTATTATGGGGCCAATCCCTGTTAGACTGTAGTTGAAGCACCGATTAGTTGGACACGGATAATTAGACATGAACATAATGGACACATTCTTAGTGGAGACACTAATCACTTCTCTGTGGGCTCCAGGAAATGCTTTTTGAATTAAACCTTGACGAATGGGTGGAAGCACACGCAGTGGTGGAATTCGGGCTGGTGGTGGAGAGCACCTTTGGGGTAGGAGGAGGAGGGTAAACCACGCTTCACACTTCACACTCGGCAAAACTGAGCTGTTTCTCCATACGTAGCTGGTTAATGTCTCCATTCCTTTAATCAAGTATTCTGCCTGCCTCTGAAGCCTCTCTCTTCACCTGGATAAGTCCTATCATTTTTTAAGAGCCAGCTGAGAGTACCTTCGCAAGGACACCATCCTGAGGGGGGTCTTTCTCGGGCTTCCCTCCACCACCACATTCACACATAATGGCCTTAATCACGCTGTGAGCTCTTCAAGGGCAGGGACATCCCATATGTCCATTCATGGTCTGGTTTTCAGTACCTCTCACATATCCTGCCTTTCGATGGTTCTTCAGTGTTTATTTAACTGGACTAAGGAAAAGAGGTCATTTTTTTAAAAAGATAAATCAGATTGTATCATTCCTTAGCTGAAAATTTTTTAATGGCTCCTTATTTACTTATAATAAAATTCAGACTCCTTACTGTGGTCTACAAAGTCCTTGGTTAAATATTTTTCTAACCTTAAATCACTTTCCTCCCACATTCACTATGTGTATAACACACACAAGCCTTGAAAGTATTGCCCTAATCCACAAGTAAATTAACTGTCAGAACAGAACAGAACACTTCTATCAAGAAGATGATGAAATACAGATAATCACACTATGGCATCCAGCATATAATCAAAACTTTCCAGCGATGTGAAAAGGCATGAAAATGTGACCCTTACCCAAGAGAGAGATCAGTCAATAGAAACAGATACAGAAATAACAATGATGGAACTAGCAGAAAGGGCTTGAAAACAGCCATTAGAGGAGACAAAGTAACATACTAAAAAATTCTCAGTTATTCTTAAAGAATGCAGGAAAGGAGAGGAAAAGGATCAGAGAACAGATGGCCCAAAAGCAAACAAGAGCAAGGTGGTAGACTCAAACACGGTTCAAGGTAAATAAATGGAAGGCTCCGATTAGAGGGCAGAGATCGCCCGACCGGATAAAAACAAAATTGAGAATAATCACATGGTAAATGGCAAATGTCCAGTTTGACCAACTCATCAGTTTGGAAAGTTAAGTAATGGGGGTAAAAGACAAGAAGTGGGACTGAAGCCACACCATCCATGCTGGGTTTATCATGTCAAATGTTTATCATGTCAAACAGTCCATCCTGTGAAATGGAATGACTGTCTCGAAGAACTGGTATAAAGCTGACTTACTTTACAGAATGTTTTATTTCATAAGAAAAGCAAGTCTTTCTCCACCTTCTGATTTTTACCTTCTTTGTGAAGAAACAGGGTGGCCGCTGTGGTGCATTTCAGCTTCCCAAGCCACCAGTGCATAAATAAAGCCAGGTGACAAACAAAACATTAACCTTTAAGCTACATACTATGATCCTTCTTTTAAAAGTGGTAATATACTTAGAAACTGAAAAAAGTAGTAAGTCTAATCTTCTCTTGTCATTAAATCAATAAAGAAATTAAAGACAACATAACTCAAAACTGTGGTTCTTGGAGGATATCACCTTTTTTTATTATTGTCATTGTTATTATTTTTATTTCATTTTTCAGTGGCCACCAAGTATGAAAGTTCCTGGAGTTAACGGCATAGCGAGATGTAGAAAAGATATTGCTTTTGCCTGAGTTTCATGAGGCTGATATCAATCTTTTATTTCATAAACTTCAGGCTGGTTATTGCTTTAAATGCAGGCTTTGGTGCATTCGAAGTGGCACTGACAGGAATACAAATAAGAGAATTCCCAAGGACACTGAGCAGAGGGCTGGGGAAAGGGGTGACTTCCCTCCCATGCCTGGAACATGGGATTCAGGAAAACCCACAAAGCAGCCAGACTTTATAAATAAATCTGAGCTCAACCGACTCAATGAATAACCTAGAGGTACAGTTTTTGCTGTTGTCTTTTTCTCAGAAGGAGGAAAAAGAACGAAGGGTTTGATTGAGCCTTAGAAGGAAGTCTGCCTGTGGTGAGGTGGAAAGGGCCCAGATCTCAGAGTCAGAAGATCTGGAGTTTCCACCTCCGTCAGCCCCTAAATGGCCCACCCCTCCAGGCCTCAGTTAGATCTGTGAGATGACAGCAATTTGCAGCAGTTAGTGTTAAAAAGTGCCTTCTGGCTTGAAATCTTCCTAGTACCTTCCTATAGGGAACAATTTATAATATTTGGAAAATACCAGAACACCATTTGTCTTGATACTAATCACAGCCTTGAGAAGAGTAAAGGGTATAGTTGAGTGAACTGAGGTTTAACTAAGCTAAAGCTAACCAACTGATAGATCTGGTCCTAGGTTGCAGGTCTTCTGGGTTTTAATCATGTGTCCTTTATGCGATCACACACTGCCTTTCAAAGAAGAAAATATAAGACTTATTTAAAGGGAACATTCTAGCAAAATAGAGAAATGATGCTTTTGAGCTCTTCAGGAAGATATTTGGTTCTAGGACAAACTGTAAAAATGGAATGAAATTGTCTATCCGGTTAGAATTAAGCACAGAATTTGCCCACTCCTGGGTATATACTCAAAAGAATTGAAAACAGGTCCTCAACAAATCACTGCACAGAAATCTCAGTAGTGTCAGGAGACAAGAGTAAGTCTTTGTGTTCCAGGACATGTAATTTCTCCATGGGCTGCCAATTAAGGGTTAAAATCCTTAGCTTCCAAATCCTGAGAAATCTGGCCTTCTCTTGCCTTTCCCCAACTCTGCACTTCATATGCCACACACTCTGGTCGGACCAAAGGACAGTTCTTCCCAGTCCCTGCCCCACACTTCCCCGACACCATGTCCTTGCTCACACTGTCGCATGGGTCCAGAACTATCTGCTTCCTTCATCGGAACACATGTCTCCAATTCCAAGAAGCACTCTTTGATTCTTTCAGTTGGAGGTACTCTTTCTCCTCTAAACACTTCCCTCCTTCTCCTCTGTATACTTTACTTCTCCCCTATATTATAATTATTCCTGAACTGGCTTCATCTCCCCTTAAATGGTATATTCCTTTAAGACTACAGGAAAATGTCATAGGACATGAATTGAAGGACTCAAACCAATCTTGTCTTGATTTCTAGGATGCCAGAAGCCACTAATTGTCATCTCAGATTGGATATCAAACAGCTCATACATAGTAAGTGCACAAGAGTATTTGTTAAATATTTTTTAATTTGCTTATTTGATATCAAGGTCACTTTAACACTGAAACTCTTTTTCAATTTTGTCATTAATTTATTTAAATACTGGCTTTTGTAGTATCTAATACCAAAACAAATTTTGTGGACTAGCTGAGGACTTCTGTGAGCATTTTTAAGGAATTTTCTTCTAGAAAAAATGAAGGCACTAAAGACCAAGACTCGGGCTCCTTTTCCCCTTACTCACTTGTGGTATCACGAGGAGAACCTTAGCCTTGGAGACTGAATTTTCTTTGTGACATGTTTTTAAAGCCCCCAGACGAAAACATGCTGAACTGAAAGGAAGTATTTTCATTTCATTGCTTTAAACTCTTACTCACTTGTCTACTAAAACACATACCTAATCATGGCACATATTTAAAGCCATGAAATATTTACAATGCAATGCCTAAGGCAGATGATGGATAGTATATTCATTCTACAGCACAGTAAATTGTGGATGCAAAGACTCAAATTGATGTTCTCAAGTGACTGTGTCAGTGCAAACTAACTTCCCTCAAAAAACAGTCCTTCATCTCCAGGATTTGATTTTCAGTCTGAAAGATAGTGTTCTCTAGCTATGTCTTGGATGACATACATAAATCCAGGCTGTAGCTCTTTCCTACAGCCATCAAAGTACATTCTGCCTTGTGACTGAATCATTTCCGAACAGGTGAGATTCTTCCTGCTGCTCCTAACGTTAGAGGCGCCCCATAAAAGCCTGCATTGAAGTACATATTGGCTACGTGGAATAAAATTCTCAGTTCAATTTCCCAGAGTTCTGTTTTGATGTCTCATAGGAAGTGCTGCTATATCCCTGAGTTTGTAATCCTGGGACACCCCAAATACCTGGAAGTCAACATCAGCTGAAGTGCGGCATACCCAGAACCTTCCTTTGTTGAAGACGAGAAACTGTTCACCGACTTCCGTAGTCATTTATCTGCCTCTCTAAACCATGTTGCCTCTGCACCTTTGCTCTCTGCAGTGATTCCACAACCACAACCTTTGGGGCTGTTTTTTTTTTTCTCACTTTGTATATTAGCCTAGAATCAGTTCTCTGGGGCGCTTTAATGACCGTGATTCCTCATTATACCCTTCAGTACATAATAAGTGACTGATAAGGGAGGAAGCTTTTAAATGAGAACCTCACCAGCTTCTGCACTTAATCATCATTGTGTGGATTTCAGGACTAATGCGGGACTACTGTTTATTTATGAGAACTCCCTAAGTACCAACAACATTTGAACCAAGAAGCTGAGCCTTTAATTCTGTCTTCCTAATGAAACTGAATAGTCTGTCTCCTAGGGAGGGGATCTTGCTGACTGTCAGGTCTGCCATGTTCAGGAGTCCAAGCACAATTCTGTAAAGCCCCCTTTTCCTATCCCTCGGTTGAAATGCTTCCAATTATCAAAGTCCATATTTCTAACAACAGCTCTCTCTCCTGTTGAGCTTTTCCTGATCACTGTCCCTCAGAGATTTCTTCTCTAAATCTGCAAAGCTTTTGTATCAGTTTGCCTTTTAGACCAGTGCCCCCACATACATGCTCCCTAGGTTGTAAGCTGTTTGAAGGCAGGGGCTTCAACCAAAAGCATTTAAGTTTTCACGGGATGTTCTGTGTGTTGAATTTAACGTTAACTGAATGCAGATGGTCCCCGAGAGCCACACACTTCAATCCCAGCCCTCCCAAGGGCTGTCTCAGCAAGTCAGGAAAATGTATTTCTCATGTTTGAGCTGCTATTTCCATCAACTGGGTTGGGTCTTCTTGCCGCCAAGACAATAATAAACATGTACCCAAAACTTACAAAGTGAGAGAGACTTTGTATCTGAAGGAACTGCACTCCCAAGCGTGTAAATGTGTGAAAATCGCTGAAGAGAGCAAAGGATGCATGTTGGCTACTGTATAGAGGGGCTTATTTATTTATGTATGCAGTCGTTTGCTTTCTTTAGAGAACCATGTACTGCTAAGCAATTGGGGTCACTCTCTTCTTTGCATCCACAGTCCTCAGAACTAAGCCTGGTTGATAGTGGAGGCCCCACAGATATTAGTGGAACTGATTCTGGTAAGCCTCACCACCATGGTCAAAGTAAACTCCTTTATAACAATGTGGCACTCCTTCCCAGGTGTATTTTCATGTTAGAAAGGACACCCACAGAAGATAGAGCTTAACCTACCTACATCGTTAATAAAGTTGGCTGCTTCTTCTTTGACCCACGCCAAGGACAGGCCGCCCAGCTGTTCTCCCCACTCTGTTGTGAGTTCTCAAGAGCAGGGACTGGGTCTTGCAATCAGGCACGAGCACAGACGTGAGCACAGAGAAAGAATAATACAGTAAAGACTTGGTGGTACTTTCACTCCTCCATTTACAAAGAAACTGAAGCTCAGAGCTTGTGCATGAAGTTCTAGGATTTCAACTCAGGCCTGTTGGTCATCAAAGTCAGAACTCTTAACCAACACTTTGCCAAAGGTGACACAAGGATCAACACAAATGAGAAAAAGAAGAGGTTGCCATATACGGCTACTAAGAGATGGTGCAACCACGTAGCTTAAAATCCACCCTGAACTTTTTGGTAAATGAAAAAGATACTGTTAATAATTATGCTGGGAGAACCAGGGTAAGATGGGACTGTCCCCAGCGCCCTAGCATGTGTGAGGATCCACTAAAAATGCCATTGGCTATATAAAATGAAATTAAAATAAAATCATGAAATGGCAGTAAGGATGGAGCCAGATGACAGTGGACAGAAGAGAAATAGGACATGAGGAACTAGGGTAAAGGAAGGTGGGCTCAGCTTCTTCAAAAAGTCTGAAGACACTGAAAATCACTTGTGAGGCAGCAAGACCTGTTTGACCACGAGCAGGGAGCTCCACCTAGAGCCTTGCAGAGCCCAGCATAGGCACATGGTGGACACCTATTGACTCATTAATCACAAGTAGGGAAGGGATTATTAGGAAGGAAAACTACTGAGCACAGTTATAGTCAGAAGAAGACCCTACAGGGGGAAAGAGATGCAAAATACAACAGGAATTAATAAAATAAAGTGGGTTAAATAGCCTCTGTAAGATAAATTCTAGCCGAAATAAGCAGGCAAAGAGAGGCAACAAAGGGCCAGGTAATTTATTTAAATACCCCCGGGTGAGGTTCTGTGGCCTTCTTGTCACAGGCCAGGGAAGTCACACCTGGTTGGGGAGGTGGGGGGCTTATAAGGGGTTAGGAGGGGGAGGAGTGGGCAAGCTATCCTAGGGGGTGTGGAGAGGTATGATTGGCTAAAGGTGACATAATAGACAACTAGAAACTTTTTTTCCTTCCAAGAGGGAGGAGGCTGACATCCGGGTCTTAGTTGGCACATCAGAAGGATGGAATTCAGGAAGAGCTGTCCCCTTTCCATATAAGGCATGGACCTTGGGGTCTGGTCTGTTCTCCCCCTATGGCATCTCTCTGTTCTGTTTGCATGTCCTTGTTTTTCCTTTCTCCAGCCTAACAGCCTCAAGAGAGAAGAGTTTGCCTTGAAAGGAAGGAGAGCTTTTTCCTCTAAAGAAATAATAAAATGAAGGAGTCATGAACAGAGGACTTACAGGGAGCTCTTCCGAGGGAATCACAGAGCCTTGGGGTGAGGACAGGATAATAGCAATACCCATTCCAGTTTCACCCAACAAAGACACACTGAGCATTTTCCCCAAGAGCAGGCCGCCAGGGCCAGCCAGGCCCCTTCCTTCCTAACGGGCAGCGGTTACAAAAGGACTAGGAAGCCTGCACCGTGAGGAATCTGAGCTGAGCCTCTGGCTGGGAATCCAATCCATTTGGCCACTGACTGACTTTGTCAACTGGAATAGGTGCTTCCCTTCTTGGGGGCTCATTTTCCTTCTATATCAAATGCGGAGGTTGAACTTGACCAATGGGTCCCAAAGGTCTAAAGCCCAGGGTAGAAAATGATGAAGTATGTGTTTTCAACATTTAATTCAATCATAATACGTATACATATCACGTAAGTTTCAGAAGTGCACAGCCTCTAGATTCTCTCAAATTGGACATGCTATGAAACTAACACCCAGCTGAAGAAATAGAACGTTACTAGCAGCTCTGAAGCCTCTCCTGCTCCCTTCCAGTCACTCAACCCCACCAGGGCGGCCACGTCCCAAGCTCTGGCTCACAGATCCACCTCACCGGTGTCGTGTCCTGCATCTATGTGGCATGTTGAGTGTGCACTATTTTGTGCCTGGTTTCCTCCACTCCGCCTCATCCACAGTGCTGTAATGAGGATGTTTGCAACAATACCCTCCAAAAAATGTGAAGAATGAGGACCATGCTGTGAGTCTTTCATCAAGCTAAATGTGTTGAAGTTAAATGATTGTCCTTTACTGTGAGATGATGTTCTTCCATCTATTTTATAATAAAATGTTCTGTAAGTTTGGTTGTTTTTTTGTTTTGTTTTACTGTTGGTGCATTTGTTTTTATCTCTGTCTAGCAAACTCAATCTCTAAATTATATTGTCTTGAAATATGGCTGAGGCAGGAAATCCCCGAATGTGAGCCCTGCTGGTCTGCATGAGCTCCAGGGTTCTGGGCACTGTGATCTACTTAGGCAGAGCTTCTTCCAGACGCTGAGCCTCCTAGTTAGAGTGCTCTGTGAGGGCTGAGCATAGGACAGGGAAGTCTAGGTTCCCAGCAGAGCCAGAGAAGCCACAAAACTGAGAGTTTTGGGGAGGAGGAGAGAGAGAGGGGAGGCTTGTCCCCCCACACTATTTCTACTCAGTGACAATACAGTAGTTTCAGTTTCTCTATAAAACAGACCAGGTGAGGTTTTGTCTGGCAGCACAGGACGTCTAGGCCTGGAGAGTGGGGGATGTACCCACTTACAGGACAGAACCAGAGAGCACAGCAAGGCAGCAGGAACTCAAGTCTGAGTGTCCTCAACTCAAGGTCATTCCTCTAGAATTCACGAGAGAGGCAGATGGCCAAGGACTGTGTCCTCAGGAGGCCCTGAGAACCAAAGCAGAACCCTGAACAGACTACAGGGCCTCACAGCAGGCACTCAGCTTTAAAAAAAAAAAAAAAGGCTGCTGCACTGACTTCCCAGACAGAGGGGCAGAAGGGGGAAAAATCGCCTCTGCTGCTGTAAACAATACCGGGTGCGATGGAGCCTGAATCCACCTGCATGAGCATCCATCCAACTGGAGCAGCCAATGGGGAAACCTCACATGACAGATCCTTCCGGCTCATTCCCTGCCCCAAAGGATCCATGGAGGCAATGGGATAAACACAAAACAAAGGCGGGAATCCCAATGTCCCCAGTTCTGAAGGACTACTTGGTGAGATGATGGAGTCTGTGATGGAATCTTCCTTCAAGATCAAGTCAAAGGAAAGAGCTTTCAAGGGAAAACCCAGATCTCCCTTCCCTGGGGATGCAGTTACATAGGTGGTTAAATCTCCTCCAGAACACCCCATTACAGGACAATTCTACCTAAAACCAAACCAACCACAGGCTATGTTTTGCATCACTAGTTTTCAAAAGGATGCACCAAGCGTTTCTTCTAATAGGTAGTATCCTGGTCCACCTGACGTAAGATTCCTTACAAACATACCGTTTTAAAAGCCTTGGATGTTGCATAAGGCAGAATATATATCAGCATCTCTCTTTACTCGCTTGTTTTGCCCTTGTCTCTACAGGGGGCAGTTTTGTTTTGTTTTTAGTTGTCTGGCCTCCAGCACGTACGGCACTATTTCTATTAGAACTTTTCTCATTTGGGGCGAATTCTCCAATTTTTGAGGCCATGGCAGATGATGTCCAGCCCCTGCTGCTTTACACTGCCTCCTCTCCTAGCAGATGTCAGGAGGCCACCCTGTTTCTCCTCCAGCCCCTGAGGCAGGCCAGTGACCCAGGCTTGACTGTCAGATGCTCACTCCTGGGACCTGGAGCCTGCGCCCAGGGGTGTTAAGTCGGAGGGAATGTTCGAAGGGCAGATGCAGCACAGGATGGCAGCCTTTGGATGCCAGCTGTTCCTGATGTCCAACCCTAATGCCACAAACAACCTTCCATAAACCTAAACATGGGCAGCATCCGTTTCTGATTCTTACAAATGAGAACCCAGCTGGTAGTTTCCATCACATGTATGATGTGACCATATGTCCCCCAAAAAATCTCTCCCTCCAATACACTGCAGTATTCAGTAGTAAAGACATGTTCTATTATCTCTTCCCATTCTACCAGTGAAACCGATGCTCAACGAAAGGGTTGGGTGACACTAACTGATACTGACAAAAGAGATAAAAAAGGATTAGATGTCCTCACAAGTGGAGGTATCAAACTTACTATGAAGTTCACTGAAAATAGGCCAAATAGAAGCACCTTAAACTTCGTAGAGCAGATTTGGCTTTAAATAATACAGTAAGTTGACATACCACGGTGCAGGAATATAAATAACTCCACTTCATGTCTGCCTCATGAGACATGTCTTAGGTATTTAATCCTAAAGTCACACTGAACATTATGCTTTAATTAATGAACACCGCTTCATAAGGCAATGATGAGCACCTCTGCCAAATAAGGCATGGACCTTGGGGTCTGGTCTGTTCTCCCCCTATGGCATCTCTCTGTTCTGTTTGCATGTCCTTGTTTTTCCTTTCTCCAGCCTAACAGCCTCAAGAGAGAAGAGTTTGCCTTGAAAGGAAGGAGAGCTTTTTCCTCTAAAGAAATAATAAAATGAAGGAGTCATGAACAGAGGACTTAGAGGGAGCTCTTCCGAGGGAATCACAGAGCCTTGGGGTGAGGACAGGATAATAGCAATACCCATTCCAGTTTCACCCAACAAAGACACACTGAGCATTTTCCCCAAGAGCAGGCCGCCAGGGCCAGCCAGGCCCCTTCCTTCCTAACGGGCAGCGGTTACAAAAGGACTAGGAAGCCTGCACCGTGAGGAATCTGAGCTGAGCCTCTGGCT